CTTTCAAAGGCCGTCTAAAACCCAGTTCCAAGCAAAGTTATCCAGGAATGAATACATGTCAGGAATCTTTGGTTTTCATTATAAAATATCATTATGTCACTTCTATGACAGGAATTAAGCTGATAGAAGACTCCTTTCAACCAGTAACATAGAATGTGCCTCAGTTATTTCAGCCTGGAACAATTGCTGTTCAGTTATTTTCAAAAACCATTTTTGGTATTTGAAAAGCCTTCAGTCAGTTATTCCTGGATGTGAGTAATTATTCGCATCACCTGGGAAGCTGTTTAAAACCTCAGTCTGATTCAGGAGACCTGGGAGCTTGGAATCAATACTGTAGAAACTCTTTGAATGATTTCACTAGCCAGGTTTGTAAAACGGCCATTAAGAGCTTTTTGAATGTGTTATAGAGATAATTTTATGGAAAAATGCACACAGTCTAAATTATTGAGTGTAGCCCTAAGAACAAGTGTGTCCTGGAGGAATTCACATGCTACTCTCTCTCTTTTTTTAAATAGAATGGCAACTATGTCATCTCTCCTTTTTTCCTTGGTGCTGGGACATTCAGAAGAAAGTTCCACTTAAGCATAAGGCAGGAGCTTTTCTAAGCCTGAGATTTCTATTTTTTCCCCATCCTAATTGTACTTGCTTTTTACTGTCAATCTAAGGATTGTATTACACTTAGGTCTTTTGTTTTTATTGTTACCTATTTCAGGTTACTTTTAAAAGTAAGGTCATGTTATGAATAATAAATAAGATTTAGAGCAGAAAGAGCACCTATTAAAAAGGTTTGGAGAAGCCCTGGTCAGGTAGCTCATTTGGTTAGAACAGTGGTCAGCAAACTGCGGCTCTTTGGCCCCTTGAGTGTGACTCTTCCACAAAATACTGACTTCTGCGCATGGGCCACGAAGTTTCAGTCACACTGTATGTGTGCGCCCGCATGTGGTATTTTGTGGAAGAGCCACACTCAAGGGGCCAAAGAGCCACATGTGGCTCGCAAGCCACAGTTTCCCAACCTCTGGGTTAGAACATCATCCCAATATGACAAGGTTGTGAGTTCAACCCCCCAGTTAGGGCATATACAAGAATCAACCAATGAATGCATATAGGTGGAACAATTATGTCATTTGGCTATGTTGCTATAACTGAGGCCTGCCATATGGACTGATATTATGCTTGCAGAATTATTTTATGATTGTGATAATGATGAAGCATTTGTAGACTTCAAAAATAGATTTTATCAAAATATGTAAGTGTAAATCCTTATAATGACATCACATATAATTTCTCACAAAAACATGGGTAAAGCTTGACAACTGAAAAAGTTTCCAAGGTTTATTGTATCCTTGGTATACAATAAGTGTACATAATTAATATATGTGTATTCTAAGAAGGGTTTAATGAGTGATCTAAAGGCTGATAGAATTTAGCAAGATAAAATAAATCAGAAATATGAAGAAAATAAGACAATGCATTAGGGGTCTGGTTGGCACAAAAAAAGCCATAGAATCTTGCTAGAGATGGACCAAAATTTTAACTTCCTAACAGCTTACATGAAAAGGAAAATTCTCCGCTCAGATAAGCGAGAAGAACTTGTGATAATAAGCCTAGAAGTCTTTCTATTCTCTCTAGGATCTCTTGGAAAAAGTACTTTGAAGTAGATTATCTTGTCTCTTGATTGGTATAGTTACCATTATGTGATTGATACAATAAATTATAGTGCTGTAAGATTTTTACATGAACTGGATTAGTTTAAGAAATTTTCTAGCCCTAGCTGGTTTGGCTCAGTGGGTGGAGCATCCATCTATGGAATCAAAGGTTCCCAGGTTCAATTCCAGACAAGGGCACGCACCTGGGTTGCAGACTTCTCCCCAGCCCAGGCCCTGGTTGGGGCGTGTGCAGGAGGCAACCAATCGATGTGTTTCTCTCACATTGACATTTCCCTCTGTCTTTCCTTCTTTCTAAAAATCAATGGAAAAGTATCCTTGGGTGAGGATTAAAAAAAAAGAAGAAAGAAAGAAATTTTCTAGCCCATTAACAAAACAGTTCACCTGTTAGCCAATAGAACAGGCTTTGTGGGATGGAAGGAATCTTGTTTGGTGAGACAAAGTCAAAGATAATATTTTTTTTTTACTAATTTTTCTTACTATTTATTGAGATAACATTGGTTAATAACATTATATAAATTTCAGATGTGTAATCTTATAATTTGATATTTGTATAATACAGCATTGTGTGCTCATCACCCAAAGTCAAGTATCTTTCTGTTACCATATATTTGATGCCCTTTACCCAATTTTCCCTTCCCCCCACAACCTTCCCCTTTGTGTGTCTTTTTCCTCACCAGGTTAGGGAAGTTTTCAGCCATTATTTATTCAAACAGATTCTTGACTCTTGTCCTTCTAGTACCCAAATAATACGGATGTTGTTATCCTTGATGTTGTCACAGAGGTCCCTGAGACTTCCTTTAATTTAAAAAAATTATTTTTCCTTTTGTTGCTCTGCTTGGGTGTTTTCTATTATATTGTCCTCCAAATCACTGATTCAATCCTCTGCTTCATCTAGCCTGCTGTTGATTCCTTCTAGTGTATTCTTCATTTCAAATATTGTATCATTCATTTCTGAGTAGTTCTCTTTTATGGCTTCTATATCCTTCTTAATGCTTACTATCTATTTGTTTAAGTTCTCACTGAGATCCTCCATTCTTCTGCTAAGGTCCTTGAGCATCCTTATAACCATTGTTTTAAACTCTGCAATTGGTTGCTTCTATTTCATTTCCTTCTTCTTTCTGGGGATTTCGTTTGTTCTTTCATTTAGGGTATATTTCTTTGTCTCCCCATTTTGTCTTCCTTTTGTGTTTATCTCTGTGTATTAGGTAGCTGTGCTATGACTCCCAAACTTGTTATGATGACTTAATGATGTAGGTGTCTTGTGGGGCTCAGTGGTGCAATATTCCTGATCACCTGAATTAGGTTCTCCAGGAATGTCTCTTGTATGGGTTATGTGTGGCCTCCTGTTGTAGTTGAGTCTCGAATACTGATGGATCATTCATGGGTGGAGTTAACCCTCATGCTGGCTGACTATAAGGATAGACCTCGATCACTGTGTATGAGTCTCTCTTCAGGGGCTGCTCCCCAAGGAGAAGTTATTCCCAGCAGGATCTGATGCCTGCTGGAAACCCCCTTTGGATGGGCCACTAATCTGAAGTAAGGGTGTGAAGCCATTGGTTGTGTTGGTTCTGGGTCCACTTGGTTCCGGTGTAGGTTGATGTCAGACATAATGTGTTACTGGCCTTGGGCTACCTGTCTGGAGCTACTATGTTATTCACTGTCTACTATGCCTGGGTGTATGTGGAAGGGGCAAAGCTGTGTACAAGGGTCAGCTTCCTTCAGCTCTGAGCCAGGGGCAGATCTATAAAAGTTCCAAGGCTCCCTGAGGTCCACCTCTCCCTGTCAGCTACTCTGCCACCCCCTGAGGTTGCCTCCTTCAGATCCTTCTGAAGAAAAACGATAGAGTGGGTCTAGGCTGGACATGACCTACAGACCCTAAAACAAGGCACAAACTTGGTAGGGTGGGGCGACCTGGGTCAGGAAGATGGGTCTAGTAGGTCTCCTTTTCGGAGGCAGCTCACTCAGCGGAGAAAATGGCCCCTACTCCAAAGCCATACCACTCAGTTTCTGCCAGAGTCTCCAACCCTAGCTCTCCCAGGAGGAGCACATGGCAGGTTCAGGTTGGGTGTGGCCAGCCAGCCCTTCACAGGAGCAAGCTCAGTTGGGCAGAGCCACCAGGACTCAGGAGGACAGATCAAAAGAGTCTCACATTTGGGGTGGTGCCAGCTGAGCCTGAAGGAGGAGGCTAAGCATGTCACTTCTTCCCTGCTCTGTAACCACACAACCTCGTGCCTGTCAGAGTCCAGGACAAAAGCCTCCAAGGAAGACACACTCCAAAGGTCCCATCTCTGAGCTGCACTCCCTTCCCCCACGGAACTGAGCTCAGCAGGGTTGGGCAACTGATTCTTGGGAGGACAGATCAAAACAGTCTCTCCTTGAGGGTGGTGCTGGCCAAGCCTGCTGGAGCGGGGCAAGACTGGCCCGTTTTAAAGCCACACAGCTCAGCAACTATCTGAATGTCCACCTAGTGCTTCTCCAGAAAAAGACCACATCAAAGGTCCCTGTTATGTGCAGCCAACAGACCTTTCTATAGGACTTGAGCTTGGCAGGGTGGTGTCGCCTGGATTAGTGCACCCCCCCAAACTGGTGTAAGAATAGGAGTACTCGACCCTGGGAAGATGGCACCTATGGGCAGTGTGGAATTGGTACTCAGCACAGGGACCTCCGTGGGTAACCTTCCAGATCTCTCCTCGGGGACACACCCCAATCTTTTTATGACTCCCATATGACCTGAGTCACCTTCTTTCTACCGGATCCCCATGTGAATGTCCAAGAGCAAAATCCTGTGCATTGGCCCTTTAGAGAACACCTGGGTTTCTAGCAGACTGCTTCCTCTTCCAGGTAGACAGAGTCCCAGCTAATTTCCACTGCCAGGAGCTATGAAGACTCCTGGTATTCTGGGTTGGGAATCCTATCCTGGGGTTGAGACCCCACATTTCTCAGGAGGGACTTTTTGCAGCCGAGATATCCTTCTGGCTTCTCAGCCCCCTTGTGGGTGCAGGGGCCAGACCTCTCTGCATCTCCACCCTTCTTACCAGTCTCTATGTGGCTTCTTCTGTAAATCCTTGGTTATGATACTTCTATTCAGCTATCTTTCAGTTGGTTATTCAGGTTGATTGCACTATAATTTAACTGTAAACCCGATGTAGCACTGGGAGGAGGTGAGTGTATCTTCTACCTGTTCCACAGCCATCTTGGAACCCCCAAGTCTTCACTTTCAATGGTGCTTATTCCCTTTGAGCCAGAAAGCTGGGCTCCAGGTTGTAAAGAGTTTTCAATGCCATGCCAAGGCAGCTGACCACACTTTCTTTCCCGTTTTCCACTGTCTTGCAGACCAGACGACGTACTCCTGCATCGCACACATGATGAGATTGTCCTCCTGCATTGCTTCCTCTGGCCCCTGGTGACATTTGTGGTGGGCGTCCTCATTGTGGTCCTGACCATCTGTGCCAAGAGCCTGGCCGTCAAGGCAGAAGCCATGAAGAAGCGCAAGTTCTCTTAGAGGGGAGTAGACGTGTGGAAAGCAAAGCACAGAAGCTGCACCCATTGGCACACATCTCCCTGCAGAGCCTGTTCCCGGTGCGGGAGATGGAAGGGGCTATGAGAGGTCTCTGAGAGGCTCCCCCCTCAATGGCAGCAGCAACAGGCACAACTGGAAGACTTAGAACCTCATAGATGATATTCTATGTGTTGTAGCCATGGCTAAAGGGTCAAGCTCTAGCTGTCTGGAGTAAAATTCAGAAAATCTGATAAAATGTTAATTTTTTTGAAAGTCTCAGTGTATAATTGTACAGTGTAGTATACAAATCATGATGATTTATGGTATTTAAAAATATTAAACTAGAGTGATCTGTGTTCTTTTCTATTTTCTTTTTTATCCTTAAAACACCAGGATTTAAAAAAAAAGTTCTTCTGGGTTTCACTTGATTCTGCTAGACTAAACTTTGACTTGGAGATGAGGATTCCTGCACAGATCTTCACTTCACCATATAATTCCGTTTCCATTATTAAAGAGTACCATTGGGCTTTTGCTTGAAGATGAAATACTGCTCAGTCTCCAATCACTTCCATGAATCTTCAACCAGGGACGCTCAAAGATTGGAAAAAGATGTCCTCTAACACTTGCCTTTGCCTATCCATTATTTCTGAGCAGATTTTTTTTTTTAAAGAGAAGAGCATAATTCTGAACAAGGCCCGTACTAGCTCTTAGAGCACTGCGCTCCTCTATTCATCTTGCTCATGTTTATTTTGGATGGATTTTATCCTTGTGCAATAGAATGCACATGATATGAAGGACACCTTTCAGCTTAGTCAAATGCTGTTTTCATTTTTTTTAAGTCAGAAAAATTATTCAAGATCCATCCAAACATTTTGTTTTGATTTTCTTTGTCTTTGCCTTGATGTCTTACCAGTATTAAAACAAGAATATTGCTGATGCTCAGTTTGCTTGGACAAACCTGGAGATGCAGCCCAACTCAATATCACGGCTGAGCTTTCTGTGCCTTTATCAAAAGGTCATTGAGGAGATCAGAACTCTTTGAATCTGTTTATAAGTTCAAATTCCAAATGTCAATCCCACATCTCAGTGAATATCAAACCTACCCTATTTATTTACCAGGTAGAACCAAACCTTTGTTTAGATGAAATGTTACATTTTTAGTGGAGGAACACCTGACAATATACTTCCTTTTTGCTTTCTTATGATACTCTGGACATGCTCCTAGTAAAATAAAGGCAAATTAGAAGTTAAGGACAAGTTCCCCTCAACTATTTGCTCAGGGTTCTAAGAAAGATGCATGTTAGTGGAATGATGCTTTCCTGACTTTTAGTCCACATACCACAGTTTTCTTAATTTTAGAATGCAAGTAATTGGGAGAGCCACAGTCTTCAGTGGAAGGGTGCTGGATGAGTCTGATAATTTTTTCCTAATTCACAGGTTGCACCATGAAAAAGGCCTTGAACGCACTCTTTGTGACATCCCTAGAGGCAGCTCCAGGGCCTTGACTTCAATCCCAGTTTTCTGTGGCAGCATCCCTGTTGTCTTAGCAACACAGCAGACCATTCTGAAGCAGCCACACAAAAATGGGACTCGGAAAATCATCATCTTTGCATCACTTTGTGGGAGATGAAGTCTACTTTATTCATTTTATCTTAATACAATAATCTATGATTAATTGATTACAGAGACTAGACAAAAATAGCACATGGACATACGTTAAGTGTTGGAAAAAAGGGAAATTGATATATATCAATCTGAGTTTTCATCTATCAGTTTGGTACTCACACATATTAACGAAATGCCTATATTTAGGCCCAAAGAGTACACACGACTGTATGCCATAGGTTGAGTTTTGGAAAAGAGGAGAAGCACACTGAATTCGTGAGGTCACATGTAGTTTTAGGGTCTTACTTGCTTACAGCCAGTTAAATTTGAGACTGCTTATACTTGTCATTAAAGATAAAACCTGAAGGAATAAAGATGGCATTTTAAAGATCATAAGAGGTAAAGAAACTTAACTTACTAATATTTTAATTTCTCTTTTGTATAAGTGAGAAAAGGATTTAAGTCCCCAAAATATGATCGCTCACATAAGACGGTTTATTTCTTCCTCACATAACATCCAGAGGTAGTTGGGAAGTAGGGCTGGTCTGTTTCACAAGGTAATCAAGGGACCCAGGATGCATCCACCTGTTGTTCTCTCATTGCCAAGGGTAATGGTCAAAGCTGGCTCAAAGAAGCACTTCCACTGTGCGGCCTATCAAAAGAGGAAGTTGGGAGCAAGCTATTTCCTTCAAAGAAGTCTTAGCCATCACTTCTGCTCAGTCCATAATCACTTACTACATAGCTATACCTAGCTTCAAGGAAGGCTGAGATATATACAGCTGGATGGACATATGTCCTACTAAAACGCCAGGGAAAAGGTTCTATGATTAAAAGGAAAAAGGGGAGAATGAATGCTAGACTAAAGGTAAAGAATGATGCATAGCCCTCAATGGTCTAGGCCAGTGGTTGGCAAACTCGTTAGTCCACAGAGCCAATATCAACAGTACAACGATTGGAATTTCTTTTGAGAGCCGAATTTTTTAAACTTAAACTATATAGGTAGGTACATTGTTATTAACTTAATTAGGGTACTCCTAAGCTGGCCTTTGCTAAAAACGTCCTCAATCTGATTGAGGTACATTCGCTGAGGTCGACCCCTTCCAACTCTTCCATCCACACTCGTCTGGTATACTTGTTTCGTCTATCTCCTTTCGTTCATCCTCTCTATATGCCGAAACCATCTATCTCAACATCCCTTTCTCAATCCTCCACACTACATCTTCTTTCACTCCACAACGTTCCCTAAAATTAACTTAATAAACTTTACTTAAAGTTTTAAGTCAACTTCGCACTCTACTTGCACCCCCGCACGTGGTATTTTGTGGAAGAGCCACACTCAAGGGGCCAAAGAGCCGCATGTGGCTCGCGAGCTGCAGTTTGCCGACCATGGCTCTAGGCCATGATGAAAAGCTGAGCAGGCTAAGGAAGAGCCTTTGCCATGGTAAGAGAAAAGGTACTTGGTTCAACCTTGAATCTGCTGTCTGGGAGAAACTCTCTTGTCCATTGTTCTCTGTGGCCATAGTTTGACTTCTAAGAAATGCTTGCTCATCAGACTTACAGATACATCTGAATCCAGGAGAGGGGCGAGCAGTACGGCTTTGCAGGCCCCTGCCTACTGGTGCAGATTTGTAGGCGTAGGTCGATTTCCTTAGGAGTTGAACAAACAGGCTTGTATAGGCCAGGATTATAGTTCATTTGGCTGCGATAAAGAGGCCAATTCCATTTTTGATGTTTGCTGATAGCTTTCAAGCCTCTTCATGTCCCTCTCCTTGCCCGCTAATCTCATCTGGGCAAACTGATTAGCAAGCTGGGGTGTCTTCTTCTTTGGTCCAGGTGGGAAGTTCAAATCACACAAACTCTGCCCTGAACGCAGGAACCCTCCCCGCAGCTTCACACCCTAAGAACACAAAAGCCAGGCCAGGCAAGCCAATTTTGGAACTGCCTGGGAACTTGACCTGGTCTCCCCAGAAAGCCTCATTATGTGAATAATAAACTTTTTCATACCCTGTTGGTGTGTGTGTGTGAGTGGTTATTGGTCTCAGCATCCAAACCAAATTCGGGGTTAGGGAGTCGATCTGAGGCAGGGGTGGGCAAACTTTTTGACTCGAGGGCCACAATGGGTTCTTAAACGGGACCGGAGGGCCGGAACAAAAGCATGGATGGAGTGTTTGTGTGAACTAATATAAATTCAAAGTAAACATCATTACATAAAAGGGTACGGTCTTTTTTTTTCAATCGTTTTATTCCTTTCAAACGGGCTGGGTCCGGCCTGTGGGCCGTAGTTTGCCCACGGCTGATCTGAGGGGTGCCCACAACATTGGTGATAAAATTTCATCAAAATCAGGTTTCTGCTCTATTTGCTTTCAGTTCATATAAAAGTAACCACAGCCTAAGGGCTATGCTTATAGTTCTTAAACCAGCAGCATCTTACTTATTAGTCTGTGCTTGCCTCGTACCCCATCCCTCAATTTAATGGCAGCCACCTTGAACCTTCTGTAACAATACATTTAAGTGGGAATGCAACACCCTTTATCTTATCTTTTCTGCTGAGCTGGCTCCCATTGTCTCGCGATAATACTTAATGGAGACTCTTGAGAAAGATGGAATAATAATCTGCTGTTTGGAGGACAGAAGCAGTTGAGCTGCAGGACACATTGTAAATTAGCTGTCTCACCTCAACAACTTTTCATAGCCCTTTCAAAAGAAACAGCAAAGAGCAGCTAATGCGCGTCCTAACTCTGGTTTTCTTCTACCTACTTTCCCCAGTGCTACAGGTCTGCCCTGCAGGTTGTGGCTAGTGACAGTGTACCTAATGGTTAGCCAAGCATAACAAGGGTCTCTAAATTTTCCATCTTGTGATATCTGTTTCCTCACTGCTGGCTGCCCGGCTACAATGCCAAAGCCCCATAGTTTAGATTTGTGTTATGATAGGGATATTCTTTACATTGTCTCTTTCTGACAGCATGGGTGGGGAACCGTTTACCTGGCTCAGATAGTTTGTTCTGAAAAATTACTGAACTATATCAAACAATTTGACAACCTTTTGGGAATAGATCAACATTCCCATCACATATCATATAGTCCAGAAGCACTGTGCTCTTCTTGGGGCCTGGGCGTGTGGGTCCTGTCTGTGGCATGGGCCTCTCTTCTCACCATGTATGCAGATCTATTTTTTCTCATCCATTAAGTCTGAGCTTAAATACTCTGAAGCCTTTCCAAACCATCCTATGTAAGTAGATTTCTCCTGTCATTTTCTTCTTTACCCTACTTTCTTCATTTGTAGTACCTATTGTTGCTTATATTTATATATTTGTTTGTTTACTTGTCCATAAATACATCTATTTCTCAAATACATCTATTTATCTCTCCTATTAAATGATATGATTTATGAAGGTAGAACAGTGTTAGTGAAACATTTTTTCATCACTGGCACAGTGCCAGACACTAAGGTGCTAAATACTTATTGAATGGTTGAATGAATGAATGCTCCCAGATCCATTATGTCCTCTGTATGTGAGGTTTTCCTATATCCTTTCTTACCTTGGGAAAGTTTACCTTACCTTCAAGGCACAAGTTCCTCCCTCCATTCTCTCTGCTAAATTAATCACTTCTTACTTTGTGCTCTCATAGCAATTTGCACATACCTCTATCATCTTAAGAATTTAGCATATATTGTAAGATTTTATAATTTGTCTTATGGTTGTTAACCCACTGATTCTTTCTTCCTCCCCACCTTATGAGGCAAGACACGTAC